TTTCACAGTGCGGCTCAATGTTGAGCTCTGCTCTGATTGGCTGTTTCACAGTGCGGCTCATTTCAGTAGCTCTCACAGCAGGAAGGAAACACAGGGAAAATATATATTTCAATACTTTCTCTCACAGTTATATCGTTGGATAATTATACTGTAAAATGCGGGCATCAGGGAGCCGCTATTAATATGCGGGGCATTGAAACTGCTTTCGAATGCACGATGCTTTTTACTTTCACTTTCGAGATTTGCGATCGCACGTGCGGTGTAAACTACAGCGGCAGTACTTCCCACACATTTTACAAGATCAGATGCCTGTCAGTGGTGCTCAGGATCTGTAAATCATTCGTCAACATCCTCAGTCATCTCTCCTTAATCTGTTTATGTGGTAAGTTAAATCTTATGTACTGTAATGTAACAGGCTACCGCTAGCAAGCAGCTAACCACGTCCCTTTAGTGGCTCGCCTTATAGGTAAATACAATTTTCCATTCTATGGCACCTTTAATAACCAAGCACAGAATTTGGGTTGTGGCCAGACCTCAAAATGTGCATCTAAAAACAAATTCCGACAACTGGAGATTCATAATATATATTTTAGAAAGTGATGGTGACCAAATTAAGTCATGGGGGGGGGGGGAGCGGGGGGTCAGTGAATTTTTATGAATCACCAAGGACCACGATTTCAGCAAAAAAGCTGCTTTACTGTCCTGAAATAAAAACTCACCTAGGGTGGGTAAATTAACAACAAATTTTCATTTTTGGGTGAACTATCCCTTTAAGCAGTGTCCCATTGATTTCTATTGCAAGGGACACTTTTTTTATGTTCCACAGAAAAAAAACTCATGCAGATTTGGAACGACAAGAAAATGACAATATTCCTTTATGGGTGAAATATCCCTTAAGTAACATGCCGAATTCTCTCTGAATCATTCATCACTTTAATTTTAGGCCATGACATTACACAAACAGCCACAAATGGGCATTTAGTGCACTGGTTAGCAAGAGGGACATGATAATATAGAAAGAGAAGGTGAGACATGTCATACACAAGTAAATTGTCACCAACCACTGGTATATGTGCTGTACAGACTGTACTATCTAAATGGAAAAGAAAGAAAGCAGGAGACGCCAATAACAGCCTGCCAGACATGTGAACCTTCACATGCTGAGTTAAACTCCTCCAACATACAGACATCCACATTAACCCACATGGCATACATGTTGCCTTCAGCAGTCACAGCATGACAACAGTCCACAGACACGACCCGTCACATGATACACAGCTGTTTGTGGCTGCAAATACACGACACACACAAAACCAGCCTAACCTTTTGTGTTCACCTTTTCCTTTACACAGTAAAGTAATAGTTCACCCAAAAAATCATTACCTCAAACCGATGTCATTCCAAATCGTTATGATCTTCCAATACA